AAAAAAAAAAAAAAAAAAAAAAAAAAAAAAAAAAAAATTACCTAGGTGTGGTGGTGTGTTCCTTTAGTCCCAGCTACTCAGGAGGATTCCTTAAGCCCAGGAGTTCAAGACCAGCCTGGGCAACATAGTGGGACCTTGTTTCTACAAAAAAATTTTAAAAATTAGGGCGGTATGGTGATGCACGCCTGTAGTCCCAGCTACTCAGGAGGATTGCTTGAGCCCAGGAGTTTGGGGTTGCAGTGAGCTATGATGGTGCCACTGCACTCCAGCCTGGGCAACATAGTTAGATCCTGTCCCAAAAAAATAAAATAAAAATAAAAATAAAAATCATTTTCTGTGGCCGGCCACGTCTGTAATCCCAGCACTTTGGGAGGCCGAGGTGGGCTGATCCCAAGATCAGGAGATCGAGACCATCCTGGCTAACATGGTGAAACGCCGTCTCTACTAAAAATACAAAAAATTTAACTGGGTGTGGTGGTGGGCACCTGTAGTCCCAGCTACTTGGGAGGCTGAGGCAGAAGAATGGCATGAACCTGGGAGGCGGAGCTTGCAGTGAGCGAAGATTGGGCCACTGCACTCCAGCCTGGGTGACAGAGCGAGACTCCATCTCAAAAAAAAAAAATCATTTTCTGTGTAGCTTCCACCTCCCGATCTTAGTCATATTCTTTGGAAATATATAGAGTAAGGGTAATCCTTCTACATGCCAGTCTTTCAAAAACTTGAAGCAGCTCTTTTGTACCTCAAGTCTTCTGCTGTGTAGGCTAAACAATCCAATTTCCTTCAGCTGACCCTGCCTAAACACAGCATGGTTTAAAGTCCCTTTATCACCACGCCTAGGAACATGCAAGTATATGTCCACATCACTCAAATTGTACACCCAGAATAAAACACAATACTCTAGGAATGTTCTGACCAGCACAGAGCTGAGGCGGAACCATCAGCTCCCTTGTTCTAATACTATTTATCCAATGCGGATTGACTTACTTTATTTAACATCTTTTCTAAAACTACCTATTGGGTGGTATACTAACTGGGTCACGGGATCTGTACCCCAAACCTCAGCACTCAGCATCATGCAATATACTTACATAACAAACCTGCACATGTACCCTCTGTATCGAAAATAAAAGTTTATATATAGATATACATATAGTTATTAAATCTTTTCTAGAGATACAAAGATGATTGAGATTCTACTCCAAAGAAATTTAGAGGCATTGGGTACAGGGAAGAGATTCTGGGTAAGACAAAAATGTTTATAAAAGTAAATAAACAGAAAGGAGAATGAGGGGATAGATGGGGCTGGGAATCAATGGGGACTTGGTTCTGACTGATGTAGTGACAGGAGAGGATGGATTACCAGCGCAAGTGGAGGGAGGAGTTCCAAGTAGGGCAGAAGGCTATTGCTGCCCTTGTGATGAAGGAATGTTGGCAGGAGATCCAGATATTAAGCACAGGAACAGGAAGGTGAGGATTTAAGGCCGCAGAGCCTCAACTTTCTCCGTGAAGCAGGAGGTAAGGTTATCTGCCAAAACAGGGCAAGAGTTTGGGGCACCATTCAGTAGAGCTCAGGCTCTGAGGCCAGATAGCTGGGAATCCAATTCCAATTCCTGTGCTTTCTAGCAGTGTGACTCTGGGTCTCAGTTTTGTGTCTTGTGAAATGGAGAGAATAATAGTTCCAACTTTACAGGGTTACAGTGAGGAATCAGGGTTACAGTGAGGTGTCAATGTATTTTAAAACAGATGCCTGGTACACAGTAAGCACTCAATAAATATTACCTACTGCTGCTGCCTTGGTCATCATTATTGAGAAGAGAGTAGAGTAACAGTTTCAGAGAATGGGACTGAGCTAAGCAGGGCAAATAAAGGAATTCTGCAGCAGCTCTATGGGCACATACTGTGAATGTGATTTTTTTGTGTGTGTGACAACTTTACAACATGGGATCAAAATGAACTCATGGTCAACTAAAATCTCCTATTCCTCCTCACTATGTTAATTTTACCATCAATAAGCTGGCTGCTTTCTTATTCACAATCCTTGAGTAACTATTCTACGCCTCTCATGCTACCTGTCTTTACTGGATCATTCTAACTTTTCTTCAGAATCTAATCTAGAGGTATTTCAATCTGATTCTTCAGTCACGGGTTCCTCCCTGGGCATTCCTTTTTTCTCTTCTATCTTAATTGGATTCCTTCATGCCAAGTAAAATTGCTTTGCTTGCAGACAAAGTCCAGTGAAACAGCTTCCCAGGATTCTCTGCCGGCCACAAACATGTCTTTATTACCTATTTCTCCCCAGGGCACACAAGTCTTATGTGTGAACTTATCTCCGAACTTTTTCAATGTTCCAGTGTCTTGTCATTCCTACCCTAAAATCCTCTGTTTTTTAAAGAAAACGTTTCTGACTGCTAATCTCAGCACATGTGCCATTCCTAATGGTTCCTAATTTTAATTCCTTCTTTCTTGGAATAACACATTCAGGTTTTATAATTCTCCACTCCTCCTCATGTGCACCATTTAAGATAATATGAAAGTCACATGCATAAAACATGTATTTCCTGGCCTCAAAGTCTTTCATTTACGGATATCATAACCATTATCATATATTGTATTACTCTTGCATTTACCAGCTTCATACTTTACCCACATATTCTCTTTGGGGGCACTTTTCTCTACACTGAACGTCAGTAGTAAAATTAAACTAGTTAAAATCTACACTCAAAATCTCTGGTTAATTTTTCTTAAAATTACGTGTGAAGTTATAATCGCAGTTAAGAAAATATACCTTAGAAAAAAGAGCCTTTGAAAATACTCCAGGATGTTAATAATTGTTGTCTCTGTAGAATTATGGATGAGATGCATCCTTTTTTAAAATTCAAATCATAATGTATAACACATTTTTTGGGAGAAAACTAAAAACACACAGAAAATAAGAGCTTCAGAGGAAGGTTCTCTGGCTACAAAAAGTAATACCATATGGGAAGAGAGATAAGGCTTTTATTTTCTTTTTTTTTTTTTTGAGACAGAGTTTTGCTGTTGTTGCCTGGGCTGGAGTGCAGTGGCGCGATCTCAGCTTATTGCGACCGCTGCCTCCCCGGTTCAAGAGATTCTTCTGCCTCAGCCTCCCGAGTAGCTGAGATTACAGGCATGTGCCACCATGCCTGGCTAATTTTGTATTTTTTAGTAGAGACAGGGTTTCTCCATGTTGGTCAGGCTGGCCTTGAACTCCAGACCTCAGGTGATCTGCTCGCCTCAGTCTCCCAAAGTGCTGGGATTACAGGCGTGAGCCACCACGCCCGGCCTGATAAAGCTTTTTAAAACAGGCTCTGCAATATGTGTACTTGAGGTGAGTTAGAAAAATTGCAAATGAGATGTGGCTGCTGCTGGAAACATTTTGGAGAACGAGGTGCCTTCCTGAAACCCCTGAGAGGCCCCTGAGAGTATGAGTCTAAGAGGTGATAGAAATGTGTGTGAATATGTTGGGTAGGGCAAGGCAGTGGAGGAATGGATGTGTGGGTTTCCCTTTTCTCTAACAGGGAAATAATTGTTTTAGATACAAGATAATCTAATCTCTGAGAATTTTATGCTCTCAATTTTGAAACAGTTTATGTTATGTTTTGGTTCTATCACATGAATGAATATGTAACTGGTTTTGTTTTTTTGTTTTTTTTTTTTTTTTTTTTTTTTTTTTTTTTTGAGACGGCATTTCACTCTTGTTGCCTAGGCTGGAGTACAATGGAGCGATCTTGGCTCGGTGTGATCTCGGCTCACCGCAACCTCTGCCTCCTGGGTTCAAGCGATTTTCCTGCTTCAGCCTCCCGAGTAGCTGAGATTACAGGCATGAGCCGCCACGCCCAGATAATTTTGTACTTTTAGTAGAGACGTGGTTTCTCCAAGTTGATCAGGCAGGTCTCGAACTCCTGACCTCAGGTGATCTGCCCGCCTCGGCCTCCCAAAGTGCTGGGATTACAGGCGTGAGCCACCATGCCCAGCCGTAACTCTTTATATTTTGTAATTGATACTGTAACTCTTTATACTTTGTAATTCCTTGAGCCCAGTGACAGGCAAACAGAGCTGACTCTACCCCTAGAAGGAAAGAAGCAGTCTATTTAATTGCCTTGGGCTAGTGTGTGCTGCTCAGTTGGAGAGTTAATTTTAATTTTGGAGGCATTGCTCCTAGTGACCTGAAATCAACAAACCTTCTGTCAGATAAGGACAACAAAACCAATGAAATGGAAATTTGCCAAGGAAATACCAGACATGAAGAATCCTTAATGACTGTCAGGTAAGACTATAAATGATATCACTCTTCAGTTGGCAAAGTTAATTTACTTGCCATACAAGAAATAAAAACAGAAGTGGTTTGTGAGATTATCATCAGTGTGGCTCAGGATAAAGAACACTGGTCTAGGAGTCAGGGGAGCTGTGCTTTAATGCTAATCCACCATTAAAAAGCTACATAACCTGCAGTAAGTCCCCTTCCCTAATTTGCAGATAGAGGGAGCTGGTCTAGTTGACTGAAGATCCTTTACAGTTTTTCCTTTTTTTTTTTTTTTTTTTGAGTTGGAGTTTCGCTCTTGTTGCCCAAGCTGGAGTGCAATGGCGCCATCTCAGCTCACTTCAACCTTCACTTCCCAGGTTCAAGAGATTCTCCTGCCTCAGCCTCCCGAGTAGCTGGGATTACAGGTGTGTGCCACCACGCCCGGCTAATTTTTTGTATTTTTAGTAGAGACAGGGTTTCACCATGTTGGCCAGGCTGGTCAAGAACTCCTGACCTCAGGTGATCCGCCTGCCTCGACCTCCCGAAGTGCTGGGATTACACGCGTGAGCCACTGTGTGCCCAGCCTTTTTTGTTTGTTTGTTTTGTTTTTTTGAGACAAAGTCTTGCTCTGTTGCCCAGGCTGGAGTACAGTGGGGCAATCTCGGCTCACCACAACCTCTGCCTCCCAGGTTCAAGCGATTCTCCTGCCTCAACCTCCCAAGTAGCTGGGATTACAGGCACCCACCAGCACGCCTGACTAATTTTTGTATTTTCAGTAGAGACGGGGTTTCACCATGTTGACCAGGCTGGTCTCAAACTCCTGATCTCGTGATCCACCCACCTCGGCCTCCCAAAGTTCTGGGATTACAGGCATGAGCCACTGCACCCGGTCTCCTTTACAGCTTTAACAGTTTGTGATCTAGAGTTCTACACAGGCAAGCAAAAGCTTGGCCCTTGGCAATGCCAATTGGATAAATTTTCTGGGAAAAAAAAATAGTACAACTGGCCTGGTATGTAGGAGCTTGTGGGATGTTCTCTTCTGTGGCCAGAGGATGGTAGTTGTACAGATGGAAGTGCTGGGTCACTTTGGCTCAGATGTGGACTTCACACTGGCCAGAAACAGAGGAGTATAGAGAAGTTGCCTGTTCAATTCTTAGACCAGGTAGTGCATGTGGAAGACAAGTCACTTGGGCAGGAGTTGTGTGTCATCTTCACATAAACCGTAAAAGCAAGAGAAAAAGGAATAGCACCCAACTGGGTCCAGAAAGCCAACATATCACAGCCTACCTTACCTGTAAGGGAGGTAGAATGATGTCGAAGCCATGGTCAATCACCCTGGACTCTACATTCTAAACATGGCTTTAAGCTGCCTGGATTACCTATGTCTTTGGTAATTTTGACAGAGCGTGCTACTGATTACCTATTATTTGTTCCCACTGTTTAGACTGTGAGACCTGCAAGAACAGCTCAAGGAAATGATCAACAACAATCACTAATGCACAATTAACCTAAAGTTCAGGACTGCAACCCTAAAATAAGTTGAAACCCTTCCACTTAGATATAGGGATAAAAGGAGGATAGGATTAATATGTGCACAATATTAAAAGTTGTTAATAAAATATCAAATTATACTTTAAAAATCTGCAAAAACAGAAATAACTCTATTATTTTATGCATTTCCATTTATTTGTGATTATCAGATTAACATGTCTGCACTTAAGCATTAGCTCCATTGTATCCTTAGCACATCTGGCACATAGTAGGCACTCTACAGATTTGTAGTCTTTTTTTTTAAGTGAGTTTGAATTTATACAAACAGAGGAAAGGCTCAGGAGTGATGGTATCAAAGCCAAGATGATGGCAATCAAGCCACCACCACCAACTGATGATCTCTCTATCTATAGTCAAACTACCTAAGGAGGAAAAAAAGAGCCCTTGAATGGTGAACTTGAAAATTTGAGGCTATAAAGTAGACAGCAAACTTCCACATTATGCTTCCACCTTTTATGCTATTACATCAATCTTGGGTGGCTGGATTTTTTTTTCCCTACATGAATGATGAAAAGTCAAACGTAGATATTCAATTAAAACTACTAGGACTTCACCAGGCGCGGTGGCTCACGCCTGTAATCCCAACACTTTGGGAGGCTTAGGCGGGCGGGTCACGAGGTCAGGATTTCGAGACCAGCCTGGCCAGCATGGTGAAACCCTGTCTCTACTAAAAATACAAAAAAAAAATTAGCTGGGCATGGTGGTGTGTGCCTGTAATCCCAGCTACTCAAGAGGCTGAGGCAGGAGAACTGCTTGAACCTGGGAGGTAGAAGTTTTAGCGAGCTGAGATTGTGCCACTGCACTCCAGCCTAGGTGACAAGATTGAGACTCTGTCTCAAAAACAACAACAACAACAACAACAACAACAACAAAACAAAACAAAAAAAAACTACTAGGACTTCACAGAGAAATTCATAACAATCTAATACTCTCAAGCAATTATTTCAGGGAAATTTTATAAGTGAAGAGTTTGGATTTCAAACACCCCTTCCCCACAACCTACTCCTTCCTCTAGTCTTTCTCTCCTTAGCAAAAGGCATCCTCATCTATCCAGGAGATCTGGCAAAAATGCAAGCATCACCTTTGACCAATCTCTTCCCTCAACCCCACTACTCTCTCTGTTACCGCAACATCCAGTCTATCAGCAAATTATGACCCTTTCTCTCCACCTCCACTGCTACCATTATTGGTCAAGCCACCATCCTCTCTCAGGACTTTCATAGCAGCCTCCACACTGGTCTCCCTGTGTCCACACTTTTGCCTTTACCATCTACTCTCCACACAGCAGTCAGAAAGTTGCCTTGAAATTGCAAGTCATCCCTTGCCACCTTGCTTAAACTTTCTCATGGCTCCCTATGATACTAAGAATAACATCCAAAATCCTAAATATGGCTGATGAAGCCTGACCCACTTCCACAATTTGATCTCCTACGGAAACCCCCTACCCACTCTCACTGCTCAACACTTTTAGTCTTCTTTTGACATGCTGGCCTTCTTTCTGACCCGGAAATGTCCCAGGCTTATTCCCACTTCAGGGCCTTTGTACGTGCTGCATCCTTTCCCTCAAACACTCTTCTAGACACATAACTGACCCCTTTTGCCCTTTGAGAGCTCAGCAAAAGTGTCACATCCTCAGAAAAGCTTTTCCTGGCCACCTAATCTAAAGCAAACCCTTCTAGGCACAACCCACCATACCACTTGGTTTTTATTTTTTGGATGGAACTTTTTAGTATTTGAAATTATATTTGTCTGCTCTTATTATCTTGCCCCCATCCAAATAAAAGCTCCATAAGGACAAGAACTTGAACCTTCCTGTTTAGTGTTGTATCCTCAAGTTCTTACAGAAATGCTTGGCACTGCATAGACACTCAATTATAAGCTGAAAGAATAAATTAATGAATTTGATTGAGAGAGTCTTATTATGTGGGTAAAATATTCTATTAAAATACCTTTTATGTTGGAAATATCAATATTGAGCTGTCCAAGTTTCTCACATGTTTTCTCTATACACTCATAGACAGAGTGTAGAATTTCTTTAGGGTCCTGTTCCACCCATCTTTGAACAAAAGAAGGCATTTAGTTAGTCAGTAAGAAAGCAACACAAATATAACTTTTTTCTATAGAAAAGTTAACTTATGAGGGTATGGCTGATGCATACATTAAAGAAAATCAGATTAAGCAAAGCAAATTACATTCCACATTTTAAAGAAACGATTTCAATAAAAGCCTATTTCCTTACAATTTTAATATTCTCCACATAGTAATTAATCATTTTCAAGGAGGCCACTAATAGCAGGCCACAAACAGCAAATATCTACCTATTTTAAACTATTTTTCCAAGTCCAATAAGAAATTTGTTCCCCTTCTTTATATCCTGCAGATTCCATTAATTTTGATAAATTATCTGCATGTTTCACTAATCGCTGGTTATTTCTAGGTAGACAGAAATATATTTATTATTATTCAGAATGATATATTTGTGAAGCAAAAGGAATTCCGAAAAGTCAAATAAGTATACTATTCTTTTTTGCTACTTTTTTCCCAAAATGTTTTGTTGGAATTTAGGGAAAAATTTAAAACTCCTTTTAACTATTTCATGTAGATAAGTGATTGGTCCAAGTTCTTAGACTCAATCTCAGTACAATTTTGGTAAAGTACCAGGGCCTCAGAAGGATGAAAGGCTAATAGTAAATGAGAAGGGTGAGAAGCCTAGGAGAAATATGGTAATTTGAGGAAGTTCAAAAGTAGAAATGATACAACCTAAAATGATTCTACCATAGGATCCAGAAGTAGCAAGGGAATTCCAACTGCCTTTCTTCTCTGCCTTTCTCAGGCCTAACTAAATTCTTCCCTTTCCTGGGCTTTGAATTCTGTCTCTAATTTATTTTATTATTTTTATGTATTTTATTTATTTATTTATTTATTTATTTTTTGAGACAGAGTCTCGCTCTGTCGCCCAGGCTGGAGTGCAGTGGCGCTATCTTGGCTCACTGCAAGCTCCGCCTCCCGGGTTCATGCCATTCTCCTGCCTCAGCCTCCCGAGTAGCTGGGACTACAGGCGCCCGCCACCACGCCCAGCTAATTTGTCATATTTTTAGTAGAGACGGGGTTTCACCATGTTAGCCGGGATGGTCTCGATCTCCTGACCTTGTGATCCACCTGCCTCAGCCTCCCAAAGTGCTGGGATTACAGGCGTGAGCCACCGCACTTGGCCGTCTTTAATTTATTTTAAAAAACCCAGTCTCCTTCTGTGTATTTATAATTTTCATCTAGCCAAGACTCAGGTATCTTCTTTACAAATTGCACTGGGCTCAGTCTTGTGGACAGTCATGCTAATGCTGCTAATGTATCAATAACTTTTATTATTAAACAAAGGAACTCTAAAAAATAGAACTTTTTTTTCATGTGAAGAAGACAATACAATTTGGAAACACATCAATTTTTTTCTCTCTTTCTTAAATTGAGGTAAACTTTACAGTGAAATGCACAGATCTAAAGTGCACAATTTGCTGAGTTTTGACAAGTGGAAATACCCATCTAAGCAACACCCCAGTCAAGATACAAAATACTTCCAGCATCTCAGAAAGTTCTTTCATGCTCCTTTCAAGTGAATGACACACCTCACAGACAACCACTTTTCTGATTCCTATCATCCTAAATTAGTTTAGACTATTATAAAATTTCAGATCAATGGAGTCATGTAGTATATACTCTTTTGTATCCAACTTTTTTATTTTCCATAATTCCAGTGACATTCCCTCGTGTTGTTGCAAGTATCTGTTCACTTTGTAAAAATTACTAAATGGTATTCCATTGTTATCCATCCTACTGATGACAGACATTTGGGTGGTTTCCAGTTGGGGCTACCTTTTTTTTTGAGATGGAGTCTCACTGTCTCCCAGGCTGGAGTGCAGTGGCGCGATCTCTGCTTACTGCAAGCTCCGCCTCCCGGGTTCATGCCATTCTCCTGCCTCAGCCTCCCGAGTAGCTGAGACTACAGGTGCCCGCCACCACGCCCAGTTAATTTTTTTTGTATTTTTAATACAGACGGGGTTTCACAGTGTTCCCCAGGATGTCTCGATCTCCTGACCTCGTGATCTGCCCGCCTCGGCCTCCCAAAGTGCTGGGATTACAGGCGTGAGCCACCGCAACTGGCGTTTGGGGCTACTTTTAATAAAGTAGCTATAAACATTCGTGTGCAAGTCTTTCGATGGGCATATGCTTTTATTCCTCTTGGGTAAATTCCTAAGAGTGAAATGCTGCAGGTGTATGGTTAGCTTTGCAATAAACTGCAACACAGTTTTTCAAAGTGGTTATATCATAAACATCATTAAATTTTAAATAATATACTTAACATTATATTTAATTACAATTACTACTTATGAATACTATTCCCAAAAATGTGATTTTAGTATTAGATATTAAGATATGTGAATACTTTTTTAAAAGATACCTTTATTATAAAACAAACCTGACACTCAAATCAGCAAAGCAGCATTTTCGCAATAATAGGAACACAGAACTCAATGACTTCAAAGTTAACGTAAAATTTCTGATATTTAATACTCTTTTGCTTTATTACTTTATTATTCATTCCTTGTTGGTAACTGAATTCCTAAGCCATCAATTCCTGACATGTAAGACATACCAAGTTATTGCTTATTTTCTTGACTAATAACAACCTCTCAAATCTTTTCAGGAGGATGTCTGACCAAGTTTACTTTACAAATCCACAGGGCAAGTCAGGTGAGATGGACTAACAAACATAATGTGTCTTTACATATCGAATTAGGAAACATACCCTTCTCTTGGGAACTCTTGTTTTATTTCCACTTGATGATGACTAAGTAGTTCAGCTGTTTTTGAATTGAAAACCTGAAAAATATATTGTAATATTAAGGTAAAAATGCAGGCAGATATCAAGGATGTTTAAAGTTATTCAGTAACTGAAGTTCTTGTTCACTGGTAGAAAAAGTCCAATGAGATGAAATGCCATATAAGATGTTCGACTTTCTTTTCATATGGATTCATAAAAGATATAAGGCAGCATCAGAAATAACTTCTCTTTAGGTAAAAAGAAACCTATTGAAGATAAAGGTAAATTAAGAGGCAATTCCCTACTCCTTTAAAAACCAAAATGGTTCTCTAATTGTAGGAAATTTAACACATTAATTAACAGTATGGATTTCTTTTACAGAATAGGAAAAACAAGAATAATAAAAGAGAGCAGATACAATACCAATAGCAATGGTGTAAGGTTCCACTCCATTTATCTTGGACGTGGAGACAGAAAGGGTCACAGATACACAGCACATAGATGCGTACTGTGTAGATTCCTTTGAAGGGAAGTGCGGCTACGCATCTAGCTCTTATAAAAGAGAAATAGAAGGCCAGACGCAGTGGTTTACACCTGTAATCCCAGCACTTTGGGAGGCCGAAGCAGGCAGATCACTTAAGGTCAGGAGTTTGAGACCAGACTGGCCAACATGGTGAAACCCCATCTCTACTAAAAATACAAAAAATTAGCCAGGCGTGGTGGTGGGTGCCTGTAATCCCAGCTACTCGGGAGGCTGAGGCAGGAGAATCCCTTGAACCCACCCAGGAGATGGAGGTTGCAGTGAGCTGAGATTGAGCTCCACCCTGGGCGACAAGAGTAAAACTCTGTCTCAAAAAACAAAAAACAAAAACAAAAAGGTAATAGAGTCCTTGTTAGTAGAGGAATAAGTATATACTTGGCTCCGTCCAGCTAAGTACTCTGTGACATGCTTGTCATAAATTGCTGACCATTGATATAAAACATTAAAACCAATGGATGAAAACTAACAAAGAAGTGCTATACAATCCTCTACAATTTTAGCACTACTAAAAACAACACTTTTAAAAATATATCAAGTTTTGCTGGGCACGGTGGCTCAGGCCTATAATCCCAGCACTTTGGGAGGTTGAGGCGGGTGGATCACAAGGTCAGGAGTTCCAGACCAGCCTGGCCAACATGGCAAAGCCCTGTCTCTACTAAAAATACAAAAATTTGTTGGGTGTGGTGGCGCGTGCCTGTAATCCCAGCTACTCAGGAGGCTGAGGCAGGAGAACTGCTTGAACCAGGAGCTGGGAGGCGGAGGCTGCGGTGAGCCAAGGTCGCGCCATTGCACTCCAGTCTGGGCAACAAGAGTGAAACTCTGTCTGAAGAAAAAAAAAAAAAGATGCTATATGCAAGTTTTTCATATATATTGTTTTCCATGTTGTAGTATCTATATTTGAGTACCAAAGTACTTACTCTTACAGAGTAAGATGCATATTTTGATTAAAATTAACTTCCAAAATTACTCTAATTACAGCAGTGAAGTAACTTCCAATTAGTAAAGCATTTCCATGCTTAGGTTTCCTGTGGGAGAAAATTACCTGTTCAATGCAGACTAAGAAAATAAAAAGCATTGAGTCTGTGACTTGCTGCCTTCCTCCTTCTACATCACACACACTCCCTTTCCTCTTTTCTGGAGGAAATAATAAACATAATGAAAGCAAGAGGGCAAATTCTGAAGTCCTTTGAGAAGATAAAATATCTTACAAGTCAAAGGTTAACTTGACACATCATACATCATATACCATGTGATAGCCCTGTGATTTACAAGGCAGCATTAGGGCATGTCTCTAGGGTGCCAGCTCCATTAGCATTAGGGTGTGTCTCTAGGAAGCCAGTTCCATTTGCCCTGTTTTATTCACTGAAGTATCCCTAGGAACTAGGGTACAAAGTTGGTGCTCAATAAGTATTTGTTGAATGTCCAAAAAATATGGTGTATTACATATACTTATTAGGACAAAAATTATCACATAAAGTGAGAAACACTTATGTGCAGAAAAACTTCACTACAATAGGAAACTCCAGCTGTATTACTGTTATTCATATTACTGCTGTTCCCTGCTACTCTCAAATTCCTAAAGGACTCTAGGTTAAGAAACAAAGTGTTGGCTGGGCGCAGTGGCTCATGCCTGTAATCCCAGCACTTTGGGAGGCTGAAGCAGGTGGATTACCTGAGGTCAGGAGTTTGAGACCAGCCTGGCCAACATGGCAAAGCCCTGTCTCTACTAAAAATACAAAAATTTGTTGGGTGTGGTGGCACATGCCTGTAATCCCAGCTACTCAGGAGGCTGAGGCAGGAGAATCATTTGAACCCAGGAGGCGGAGGTTGCAATGAGAGAAAGAGAGACAGAGAGAAAGAGAGAAAGAGAGAAAGAAAGAGAGAAAGAAAGAAAGAAAGAAAGAAAGAAAGAAAGAAAGAAAGAGAGAGAGAGAGA